GCCAGGCTATTTAGAGGTGTCCTCCGAGTGGCTGTCTTAAAAATTGGTGTTTTAGTCAAGTGCAAGCTCCTTTCCGAGAATTACTGGTGAGCTGTAGTAGGGTAGAGAGAGAGCACTGAGATGCATTTCCTGAGAGCATTCCTGAAGCCCCTACATGTGTGCCAGACTTGTCCCAGGCAAGTAGGCCTGTTTCACAGTAAGGATAGGGATATGTTTCAGTCTTCTGTCTCTGCAGTGCCTGGTGGTAGCCTGCCAAGACCTGTCTCACTGATGTCGTATTCCCTTGGTACCCAAGCCCCTTGGCTACCAGAGCCAGGCAATTAAGGATTATTTCCCGGACTGTAGCCACAAATCCAGGTCGCCAGACACATCTAAGAGCTTACCCTCCAAGAGATGCTGGTGCTCTGGAATGTGGCAGAGTGAGTGTGAAGGTAATTCCTGGCCTGTAACATCTCAGGAAAGGTTTTTAGTCACTCTTAGATGTGTGCTAAATGAGATGCCTGCTTCTCAGCCTACAGCTGTGATAAGGTAATAGGCCTCTTTCACAGAAATGCTGAGCTATGGCTCTTTTGTGCCCTAGGGGTAGTAGCTGTTAAGTCTTGTGGGACCCACAGCATAAGTCAGCTGGCCCCTAGAGGCAGGTGACGAAGTTGTATCCCCTGGTAACAGCTGCAAAAATCAGGCCACCACGGGAGAATAAGCTCTGTTCTAGAAGATAATGGTGAGCTTGTATGAATGCAGTCATTGTCCTCTGTTCCCTGAGAGCACCGCAGTGGCCTTATATATATGTGTACCCATCAGGCCAGATCTTCTGCAAATGGGCCTCTTTCTCAGAAACACTGGGGATGTACCTTACTCATCTAGCTGTTGCAATGCCCTGGGAGTGGTAGTCTAGCAAGATGGCTATGCCTCTAGAGCCAGGCGATCAGGGTTAATAGCCCTGAGTGGTAGCCACAAAACACAGGGCACCAGACCTGTGTAGAAGATCCTATCTGGGAGATAGCACTTTGGAGTACTTCTGGCTGGATCCATTGTGAAGACAATATCCACCTAAAAAGAAAAGGAATAAGAATAAAGGTAGCACCTAGCAGCTTTGGCAAGGCAGAGGGCACAAGGAAAGATGGTGCCCATCAACCTCCCTTCTCCAAGAGCAGTGGTCGGCAAACTCATTAGTCAACAAAGCCAAATATCAACAGTACAATGATTGAAACTTCTTTTGAGAGCCAAATTTTTTAAACTTAAACTATATAGTTAGGCACATTGTTATTAATTAGGGTACTCCTGACCTTTGCTAAAAATTCAAGGGGCCAGAGAGACGGAGCCGCCTGTGGCTCGCGAGCCGCAGTTTGCCGACCACTGTTCAAGAATATCCATCAGGACCCTTTTTCTCACATAAAGTCTGGGTACTTTTCCAAGGATTGCTTCTGCACTGAGCACCATTGCACTGGGCAGTTGAGCCTGTGCATAAGCCCTTTTAAGAGCTATTTCTCAGTTCACCATAGTCCCTTGGTGACAAGCCCCATTGGTCATTAATTATAGATGCTTTGCTTGTCTCTCAGATGTTGGGTATGAACCCTTTGCTTCTCATGGAAAAGCTCCTAGTTTCCAGTTTTCTGCCAATTGTGGGTCACTGTTCCATGGAAGAGTTTGTGAGATTATGTCTCAACCTTTCCTACCTGCTCCAATGTGGGTTTCCTTTTGATTGGCAGATAAAGGAGTTGCTCCACCAGTTTTTAGGTGTTTGTCAAAGGAAATTGTTCAACATGTAACTATATATTTGGTATGTCATTTAAGAGAAAAACTGAACACAGTGAGTATATAAGGAAAGTACCATAGCATAAAGACTATATATGACAAACCTACAGTTAACATTATACTTTCGTGATGAAAAATTGAAAGCTTTTTCTATAAGATCACCAATAATACAAGGATGCCCACTCTCACCACTTTTATTCAACATAGTACTATCAGTCCTAGACAGCAATTAGGTAAGGAAAATAAAGAAAAGGCATCCAGATTGGAAAGAAGTAAAACCATCAGTATTGCCGAAACCTGTTTAGCTCAGTGGTAGAGTGTCGGTCTGTGGACTGAAAGGTCCCGGGTTCGATTCCAGTCAAGGGCATGTACATTGGTTGCGGGCAAATCCCCAGTAGGAGGTGTGCAAGAAGCAGCTGGTCAATATTTCTCTCTCATTGACGTTTCTAGCTCTCTATCTCTCTCCCTTCCTCTCTGTAAAAAAATCAATAAAATATATTTTTAAAAAAATAAAAAATAAAAATAAAACCATCAATATTTGTATATGGCATGATTTTATATAGAGAAAAACTTAAAGACTTAACTTCAAAAAAGACTATTAGGGATAGTAAGTGAATACATTAATGTTGCAAGGAATAAAATCAATATACAAAAATCTGTTGCATTTCCATATACTAACAATGAAGCATCTGAAAGAGAAAAATACCTACCAATAAACTTAACACAGGAGAGGTAAGACCTGCACACTGAACACTACAAACCATTGTTGAAAGAAACTTAAGAATTCCCCAAATGGGAAGATAGTCTAGACTAACATTGTTAAAATTCCCATATTTCCTAAACCAATCTACAGATTCCGTGCAATCCCTATTAAAATCCCAATGGCATTTTTCACAGAAATCGAACAAAATTTTATGGAACCACAAAAGACCCCAAAATAGCCAAAGCAATCCTCAGAGAGAAAAAAAAAAGAGGCATCACACTCTCTAATTTCAAACTATACCACAATGCTCTATACAAGTAATTTAAACAGTATGGTATTGGCAGAAAGACAGACCTATATACTAATGAAAAAGAGTTGAAAGCAGAGAAATAGATCCACAAATATAAGGACAACAAATTTGGAACAAAGAGGACAAGGATATACAATGGAGAAAGTCTTTTCCATAAGTAGTACTGAGAAAACTGGACAACTGTGCAAAAAAACCCCACTATATTTCACCACACACAAAATTTATCTTAAGATCTTACATACAAGTTTTTAATCCATTTTGAGACAATAAAATACCTAGAAGAAAAGTAGGCACTAAATTTAGTGGTGTTTTTGTGTGAATTTGGCTTCAAAGGCATGGGAAATAAAAACAAATAGCACTACATCAAACTGAAAAGCTTTTGTGCTAAGGAAACAGCCAACAAAGCAACCAGTCAAATGGGAGAAGGGGTTAATATTCACATAAAAATCTCATACCAGCACCACCACCACAACAAAACGGATTAAAGACTGAGCAGAGGGTCTAAATAGACACTTTTCCAGGGAAGACATTCAGATGGCCAATAGGCACATAAAGAGATATTCAACTTGGCCAATTAGGAAAGTGTAAATCAAACCACAATGGGATGTCACCTAACACGTGTTAAAAAGACAAGAAATATTGGAGAGGATGTGGAGGAAAGGGAACCCTGGTACACTGCTGGTGGTAATGTAAGTTGGGGCAGCCACTATGGCAAACAGTATGAAGGTTTTATTTAAAAAATGAGTAAAGCTATCAAATAATCCAGCAATTCCTCTTTTGGGTATTCATCTGAAATGAAAACACTAATTTGAAAAGATATATGTACCCCTAGTTCATTGCAATAATATTTACAATAGCCAAAATATGAAAAGAAGTATGTATTGACAGATGAGGTAAATATACACAATGGAATATTACTCAGCCATAAAAAAGATGAATATTGCCATTGGTGATGACATGGACGGGTCTCAAGAGTATGATACTAAGTAAAATCAGTCAGAGAAAAAGACAAAGTAATGTAGGATAAACAAAATGTAGAAACAAAACAAAAACTCAGAGATTCAGACAACAGATTGATGTTACCAGAGGGGAAGTGGGGCAGGGGTAGGGTAAAATGGGGTCAGATGTGTGGTGAAATTGGAAACTAGACTTTTTGTGGGGATCACATAACAGATGTTGAAGTATAATGTTGAATTTAATTTGAACACCTGAAATTTTTGTTATTAATGTTACCTCAATTTTTAAAAACTGAGTCTTCTGTGCACAGTATTTTAAAAATATTTTTGGTTACTGCTTCTATTATCTACAATAGAGATATATAATTCATGTCAATAATAATGAGCATTCTGAAAATTATTGCCCTTTATAGTTCAATAGTATAATTCATGTCAATAATAATGAGCATTCTGAAAATTATTGCCCTTTATAGTTCAATGGTATAAGTTAAATATACATTATTTTGTAAAATTCTACTTTAGTTATATAGAAGAATTTGTCATTTAAAGGCATTTGCTGTTGATTCCATTTAAATGTACACATAATGATCACATCTGGAAAAATAGAATCCAGATTTTTTTTTACTATGGTTTGCTTGTTTTGGGGTACTTTTTGTTATTGTTTTTGCACCTTTCTTAAAATAATAGTTATGTCTGAATATAGAATGTATCTCGATTTATTATTTCTTTAAATATTGATTTGAGCAAGAGAAACATTGATTTGTTGTTCTACTTACTTACACATTTATTGGGTGATTCTTGTATGTGCCCTGACCTTGGGATCCAGCCCACAGTATTCGTGTATTTGGATGAAGCTCTAACCAAATGAACTACCTAGCCAAGCCCTCTCTATTTATTCTTTATCAGGAATTAACATACAAGAAGTATTCCATAGTGGTTGAAGTCAGATCCCCCTCAATGCCTCCAGCTGGCTGGGTGTGACTAGTTACAACACCTTTCTTAAATCTGCCTCTCTTAGCAAATGGAGATAGTAATTGTAACTACCTTATAACATCGTCAGAATTAACTGAGATAAAATGTATAAAATTCTTAGCATATTATTTAATAGAAAAAGCTCTTAGTAAGTTATTATTAAAATTCTCTGGTAACTTCTATGTTCAATAACTTCATTTTTTAAAATTAAGGTTATTAAATCATGGGATTAATTTAAAACATGATATTCTTTTATATTTACATCATAGATGCTTTTTTCTTTAATCAATATTTTTTGTTTTAGGTCGCTTTTCATATTGAACCATATATCAATCGAGATGTTCAAAACATGTACAGAAATGTCAAATACATTATAGACAAGTGAGTTTCTCCTGTGTTTATAAATTAATTTTGTAATGAATATTGAAGTCATTTTGAGGAACATTTGAGGTTCCTTACAGTTCACTTTCTATATGAATAATTAAAGATTTCTCTTTAGTATTTTATATATATTTTAGGCTATTTGTGATTTTTTTCATACTGACATTTTAAAATTCTTTAAATTTTATGTATATAGAGTTTTGTCTTTTTAAAAGAAGGTTCAGATTATGAACTGCTTTTATATGAGTAGACATACATCTAATATTTTCATTTATACTTTGTTTATAAGAATTCATTAATTCAGTTTCACTTTATTCATGAGGACTATTGAAAATAGTCTGACAGATGCCATACTCAAAGAAGCTTGTCAGCAAACAGTTGGCCATTAGTATTGATACAAAAAAAAAAAAGCAGTCTATATATTCATGTAGAAAATGTACTTTTTGTGGTGTTCCTCATCATTTGTAGACCTCAATATAAGAGTTAATTTATTGTTTAGTAATGTCTTGATAGCTAGTATTTTCTTTCCTAATGAATAAAATTAAAATGCATTTTTAGTAATTACACTTATATAACTGACTTCCCAAAGATGGTGAAAAATGTGTGTAAACTCTGATTACCTTGATTTTCATACATAATTATTATCTATGGCAAATGAAATGTGAATGTGCATTTCACTTTTACCTATGTTTGTATTCTAGATACGGAAATCATCCAGCCTTTTACAGGTACAAGACTAAGACCGGCAGTTCTCTTCCTATGTTTTATGTCTATGACTCCTATATTACAGGCCCTGAGCACTGGGCCAGCCTGTTAACCACCTCAGGGTCTCGGAGCATTCGCAATTCTCCTTATGATGCACTGTTCATTGCTCTTCTAGTAGAAGACAAGCATAAATATGATATCCTCCAAAGTGGTTTTAATGGAATTTACACGTATTTTGCCACAAATGGCTTTACTTATGGCTCATCATATGAGAATTGGGCTAAAATAAAATTGTTTTGTGATCATTTCCAACTGCTATTTATCCCAAGTGTGGGCCCCGGATACATAGACACCAGCATCCGTCCATGGAACACTCAGAACACTCGGAACCGGATCAATGGGAAGTATTACGAAACTGCTCTGAATTTGGCCCTCCAAGCGCACCCTAGTGTAATTTCTATCACATCTTTCAATGAGTGGCATGAAGGAACTCAGATTGAAAGAGCTGTGCCCAAACGAACCAGTAAAAGAGTTTACCTGGATTACCGGCCTCACAAACCAGGTCTTTACCTGGAACTGACTCGCAAGTGGTCTGAAAAATACAGTAAGGAAAGAGCAACGTATGCATTAGAGCGCCAGCAGCCTGTTTCTTAATCTTAATGCACTGTTTTATGTTTAATAAGTATAGAAAACACCTACTTTCAGTAAATGTCTCTTTTTTGAGTTACGGGATGAAAACTGTCAAAATCAGTATGCACTGTTACCCTCACCACCGTTCACAATGCTGTACTGACACAATGCCTGAGAGAAAATTGTGCAAAAACATTCCCTGTTCCATCTTCTGCTAAATTTCTGACTAAAATTGACATGGTGCTTTCATGGCAGTTTAATTTTTATTTTACAATAGGTAAATGTTTATTATAAAATAATTAGCACACAGTTCTTTCTATCCTACTGTATTCTGGGCCCAAAGAAATAGGATTGTGTATTTGTTACTGTACTTGTTTCATCTCTAAGTTGTTTCAATGGTTCAATAAACTTTATGGTATTAGTATATAGATTCTGGATAACTTTTAATAATAAATAATCTTACAAAAATAAAATCATATATCTTAAACTTTACTGTGAACCATATTGCATTAGGAAGGCTTGCTTTCTGCAGCACAATATGTATTATCATTCACAGATTTTTGGTTACCTAGAGCATGCTAGATGTTTTACATGTATTATATTTCTGCTTTATAATGCTGAATTCCAGATTTTAGAAGTTATAGAAAGTTTTTTTTATAAAAGTTAGTGATTGCTTTGAATTCGTGCACCAGTGGGATCCCTCAGCCTGGCCTTCAGGATTGAACTGAAACTGGCTTTCTGACATCCCCCAAGGGGGTCCCAGATTGCTTGAGGGTGCAGGCCAGTCTGAGGGACCCCAACAGTGCACCATCGGGGCTGGAGAGGGACACTGGAGGTTGGCCAGCTGGGAAGAGACTGTGAGAGGGCTGCAGAGTATGCCTGGCCCATCTTGCTCAGTCCCAATCAGCCGGACCCCAACAGCAAGCTAACCTACTGGTTGGAGTGTCTTCCTCCTGGTGGTCAGTGCATGTCATAGTGACTGGTCAACAGGTCGACTGTCTGGCCCCTGATGATCAGTGCAGGTCATAGCGGTTGAACAGCCTTAGCATATCATTAGAATATTATACTTTAAACGATCAACTGGACAACCAGACACTTAGCATATTAGGCTTTTATTAAGATAGATATAGTGTCCAAAACGTTATAGTTTTTAGAAATAACATTTTAGTCTTTAACTTCTTTTTCTATTATTCATATTTTTTCAATTTAATCAGAAATGTACTGTTAGACAAGAAAAAAAGTTGATACTACTTTTAGATTGCCTCCTTTATGAAATTAAGCTACTTTTACCAAAAGTAATTGAGAACATTTACTTAGCTTATTTTAGTTTTTTAGGGACATAGAAATGAAAATTTCTTTATATGTTAAATTCATTCCTGAAGTTTGACATTTAAGATTTAATGATGGAAAAAATATTGTTTCAAAGACAATAGTTTAGTTATTTTTAATAATATTCCAATTATATGTACTATCATGGTTCCTATGAGGTAAAATACTTGTGGTCAATTGTCATATTACGACAAATTAAACATCTGTATGCTAAAAATGTATTTCTTTATTTTAAAAGCTAGAAAATAAAATATATTCTATTATTATAGTTAATATTCTATTATTATAGTTAATATTTATAACTAGAACTGTAGTAAAAAGTCTAATATATATGTTACTACACAAATATTTATTGACTGAAGAGAAGCATTAGGGTAATATTAAACAATGCATATAAATCTTTAAAGTATAAAGAGTGTCAAACAAATTAGCAGTGGAATTTATCATAAAATGGTCCCTCATAGGATGAAATTTTATTTTTAATCAGCAGTTTTGAAGTAAAAACATTTTTATAACTTAAAATTTGCCATTTCTCAAAAAATGACCAGGCCACAGGAAATTATTGTAATAGTAAAAATCCACTTCTATAGGAAGTCACAAGAAAAAAGTCACTATATGATTGATATAACCAAGCATCTTCATAGGAATACTCATGGATATATCCTGTGGATATTTTTTCTTATATCCAGTTAACCACTATAAATTATAAATATAAACTCTATGTCATAACTAATAATATTTTATAACATTCCATGTCTTATTAAAGATTGGTTAGAGAAATAGCTACTACAGAGGAATTTTTGTCATTGCTTATATTGTATATTTGAATTCACTATGGTAGGATATAAATTTCTTAAAATAATTCTAAGATTGAGGGAGAGTGTATAAACATGGTCAACATATCCTCAACACGATGTCACCACTTCCTATTCTGCTCGTAGGGCAGAAATAGGTAACGTACTAGAGCACAGTTTAACTCTGACCTTTGGTGTGGTTCCCAACACATTACCCTACTGGCCAGTACCAAGCAGTCAGACTTCAGAGTATGGTAAAACAGATTCTGACTCGTTACAGAAAGTTATTAATCCGAGAAGAATGTTTGGAATCTGATCACAAGGTGGTTTAATACTTTATAATTATACTAGAGGCCCAGTGCAGGACATTCATGCACTCGGGTTAGGGAGGTCCCTCAGCCTGGCCTGTGCCCTTGAGCAGTCCAGGAGCCCTCATGGGATGTCTGACTGACAGCTTAGTGCTGCTGCGGAGGGGGGAGAGGCTCCCACCACAGCTGTTATGCTCACAGCTGTCAGCCAGGCTTGTGGCTGAGCAGCGCTACCCTTGTGGGAGCACACGGACCACCAGGGGGCAGCTCCTACGTTAAGCGTCTACCCCTGGTTGTCAGTGTGTATCATAGTGACAGGTCATTTCAGCCACTTGGTCAATTTGCATATTACCCTTTTATTATATACAATAGGATGAATATATTGTTTTTTCCCTTTTTTAAACAAAAGTTATTAGGAGGAATTATCTCTGGTAGTTTTGTTATTATTAGGGAGGAATGCTTTCAAACTCTCAGGTATTCATTGCAGCTGCCTTTGCCATTTGACTAGTAACAGTTTAAATTACAAGTAAAGAAGAGTAAAGAACGATTTCCTAATTTTAAAACTATAGGTTTTAATCCAATAAACTAAAATAACTGTTAAAGAAAAAGCAGTGTAATATATGCAATGCATGAATCCTACTGAATTATTTTATGGTTTAATCCAATTGTTTTGACTGTAGAAACCAAATATTTCTTTCATTGCTCCCCTTAAGGACCTGTACTGTCAAAACTGCTATTATTGTTTTTATAGTTGCATGTTAACTTTTTTTGTTTTCAGAGTATGTAATTAAAAGATGACTATTTTGTTATATGGAGTAATTTTCATCTAATAAAAGCATAAATGAAATATGTATTTCTTACATATAAAAATGGATTCCTTTGTTGTTTTTTCAATGTCTGATCAACAAATGAAAAGGTAGTATTCATCACACTATAATTCTCTATTTGAGATATGTAGCATTTACAAAGTTGATATCTTTAACTGTACATACTTTTGGAATCTGTGCATCTAAGTTACACACACCAAAAAAACTTTCTTTTTCAATTTGGGAGCTTTGTTACTTTATCCTTTGGGCATAATGACATATTAGCTGTGACATCCTTTAGAAAATTGATTTGCCATCCAAAACAGCAAAAATAACAAGCTATCTGAAAACATACTTTAGTTTTAAAAAGCACAAAGTTATGAACTTATCAGTTAATTTAAATCCTGCTACTGCTCTTAAACTCTATAGTGCATGCAGAAATGGTGCTTGAAAATCTATACCTAAATTTTGAATTAAGGTCAACACCCTCATGTCTCATAGTACAGAGCTACTTTTCAAACTAATCAGTTAATCAATTTAAATCCTGCTAGTGCTATTAAACTCTCAAGTGCGTACAGAAACAGTGCTTGAAAATCTATACCTAAAGTTTGAGTTAAGGTCAACACCCTCATGCCTCATGGTACAGAGCTACTTTATTTACAACCAGCAAAATTTCAGTTATTTCTCTAAATATCTACAATTTCAAAATTAAAAATGATCTAGCCACAAGCAAAAGAGTTTTTTGGCTTAGATAGTCCTCTTTTTAAAAAATGTACTTTAAATTAAATTTTATACTGACTTTGTTATATATCCAATAAAGGCTAAATGTTATTGTATGCCTGATACATAGTTATTGATTTTGAAAATTCAATTACTATTTTGACTTAAAGAGACTCATTTATTCTTAGTCAAATAAAAATAAAAAACTTAGTAATTGTGCTATTCTATTCCAGCTGTCAATGAAGGGAACATTTTTTAATGTGATTAGCTTTTGTTGTTAAATGGTTAGTATTTAATTGATGACATCAAAGACAAAATAGCCTGGCTAGCCTGGTTTAGTGGTTGAGCATTGACCTGTGAACCAAGAGATTATGGTTCGATTCTTGGTCAGGGCATATTCTCAGGTTGCAGGCTCCATCCACAATAGGGGATGTGCAGGAGGCAGCTGATCAATGATTCCCTCTCATCATTGATATTTCTATATCTCCCTCTTCTTTCCTCTCTGAAATCAATAAAAATATATTTTTAAAAAAGAAAATAATTTCAGACCTAATCAGATAGTCTTAGATCTAAAATTTACTAAACTTAAAACAGTGGCACTTTTCTTATTGAATGTTTTAGACTTCATTTTTTAAAAGCATCGTGTATATTGAATTTTAAGTTTTCTATTTATATGCAAATTAACAATACATTTAAACAAAGATAAGAGGCTTTTTAGAAGCTACCCCATTGAAATAACTATTTCATGACACAAAGCAGTGATGTATCATGGTAAGATAATTCTATCTATAATTCAACTTATGGTATATGATTGTATCATTTTGTGCTTTTGTGTTTGACTTTTTGAAAGAATAGGATAGAAACATGAGCAAAGATCATTGTAAACAACACAAAAAAGTGACAAACTTCAGCTACTCAATAATATTTGATATATTTATGCATAAAAGTATTTTTGAGACGACTTTACAAAAACCATTATCAAATCACCGTGTTAACTTGACAATTATCTAATATAATGTAGTCTTGACCCTGATCTTGAAAATAGCAAATGCAAAATAGAAAAATATATAAAAGAAATTCAATTGTAATGCATGCAGTAAACTTAAGCAACTTATATGTTTGAACACAAGTCACCTAGGAGCATCATGCCACCATTTTTTTGTTTGTATATACTAAACATATTGAATAGTTTTGTTCTACATATAGTTTTTTAATTATCCAGACTTAGTTTAGCCATGTTGCAGACTATTAAGCCATTAATATTGAAATGGTGCAGTTGAATCTCTGACTATATGAAAAAATTCAACTGCAAATCCCATTGCTATATTCTTGAAAATTTGCTATGTTGCTATATTTATTTAATTAAAATGTATTCTTAAAAAGTATGCTCTTTGTAGGTGTTTTGTATGAAAAACATTTAATGGCAATGATATGAATAGGAGCTGAGCTCATATTCTATTTTTCCTCATATGAGTATTGTGTTTATGGTTAAAGACTTAATTTCCAAATAAAACATTTTTAATCTACATTATTATTTCACTTTTTTTAAACTTGAGTCATTCTTAATTAGACTTTAGGTCATGTCTCCTTTTATTAGAATATGTGCACTCTGACGCTTTTCTAAAAGGATGTCAAAATTTTTTCACAAAAAATAATTACAAAATTAATATATAAATTATGAATGATGGGATTTTTTAAATGCATATATGACTGATTACACATTTG